AGAAAACAACAAGTCCGTGACAAAGAGCTATACAGCAACAAGAAGCAAGCAGTAGAATCTGCTGACGACAAACCTGCTTTTTCAGGCACTGAAAACATGAATATATCCCTGTTGGATAACACTTTCAGTTCTCAGCCAGGTCACATAGGCAACTGCCTATTTCGGCCTAAGCCTATCAGGATTTCAAAATTTGCAGATAAGAATGTTTCCCTCATGGGGGGTCTGAATATGGTAAAGAAGGGTTCGGAAGATCTGGTAGAAATTGATTCGTCCACTTGTTACCAGTGTCTCGTGTTGAGGAAGATCCCTTGTATCTGAGTATTGGAGGTAGAAACCAGATGTCTCAGATAATCACACGTCTGAATTTCTAGGGAAACCCTATAACCCTGGAGACAAGAATAAAAGGGTTAGCTCTATCATTCACGGGCGAGTAACGACATGTCACTTGGACTAACTTATCATTCCGAAGTTGGAAGTGCCATTTTAGTGAATACTGCGTTCGGTAAGATCGATAAAAACTTAATTTCACTGGAATGGGCCTCCAACAAGAGAGAGCAATTTCACACTACTGGGTCATCGGATAGATAATAATCTTCCGTCTATTGGACGAGCCTTCAACAAAAAGATTGACAATTTTATTCCAATTGGGAAGGGGAGTGAAAAGGGAAATGGCAATCTAATGCCAATCGATCCTAATTACTACAGGAGTAATGAAACTTTCGTTGCTATGGACAGTTTCTACAATAAAGCAAATGAAGCTTATATGTCAGCAGGTCCTACTTATGATAATGGGAGAATAGATATTGCATCTATCACTTCAATTCAAGGTCAGCAGGATGCAACTGTTGCATCACTAGGAACTGTTTACAGTAAAGGAAATTCCAGTTTCCTATCAATGAGCCAAAGCCATAATAAGGGGAATGACACCACTATACCTTATGGAGGCTTTCATGATAATCTATTAGCAAGCTATCCCTCTTTCATGCTCATAAGCAACCGGAGTCCTTTACTAAATCATTCCTCAGCTCAACCTTCAGGAGCATTACAACCGAAAGATTTTGCAAAGTACCAAAATATAAATTCTGTTTCAGCATGTACTTCATGGAGAGGAAGCGGCCCCAAGAATAAGGAGAAGAAGACTAATGTCCATTCAAACAACTTCCCCTCAAACGTTAAAATTTTGTTATCAACTGGTATATTTGAAGGAGTTCCTGTGAAGTACGTTTCGTGGTCAAGGGAGGTGAGTTCTGATATTTCTTTTTTCTTCCATTCCTTACGAGGTTTTTGTTTTTTTACCACAATATATTTTTGCATGCAGAAAAATCTTCCTGGAGCGGTAAAAGGGACTGGTTATTTGTGTGGTTGCAATGATTGCAAACTTTCCAAAGTAAATATTACTGATAATTCTCATTGAAAGTTCCATTGTATGTCCTCACACAGCCTACGAACGTTTAGCTCCCAACTTATATTGTGTAGGTTATTAATGCTTAAGAGTTTGAGAAACATGCTGGTTGCAAGACCAAACACCCGAATACTCACATTTACTTTGAGAATGGGAAGAGCATTTATGCTGTTGTCCAAGAACTGAAGAGTACCCCTCGGGACATGCTATTTGCGACAATAGAAAATGTGACTGGATCTCTTGTAAACCAGAAAAATTTGCATACTTGGACAGGTGAGTTTTTTACTTTCTCAAAAGAAATTTAGTGTTGTCTTTTATCCCTTAAATGATAATTATTCTTTTCTGTATCTGCATCTCAG